CATCAGTACTGCGACCAACAAACTTGTACTCCCTCCGTCTAAAAAAAATACAATTCTCGCTTTCTGAGAAGTTAATCAGTTTGAACTTTGACCAAAACTATATAAAAGAATACTATCATTCCAAATACAAAAATAGTATCGTTATATTAGTCATAGAATATATTTTTATAATAAATTTATTTAGAGATATAAATATTAATACTATTTGTTATAAATTTGGTGAAACTTGAACTACTCTTGACCAGCACGAATCCCATAATTAAATTCTTTTCTGGACCGAGGGAGTACCACTCTAATTATTCCGCGTGTGTTTGTGTTTCCATAGGAGTTTTTCACTTTAAATACGTGTCTAGTGTTAATCCAAATTTGTCGTGCACTCTTAGTTAGGAGCCTTTCCATCCATTGGTCACTAAAGAATGAGATGGCCACTCAGGCGAACTTGAACTAGCTGTTAGCTAGCAGGAAGCTTACATTTGTATTGATCACCGTGAGCTTTATAAAGCTCTTTATAAAGCAGAAGGAAAAGGCGTCACACAGGGACAAAACATATAAAATCATTACAAAATATAGGCAGTTCACTATGCCGCACAAGGAACAGGTGACCGCAATTTCGTCAGAAAATACACCATACTTTTTCTCAGAATCATGCTCTTGTTCTCTTTTTTGACAGGCCATCGTATTGACCCCATGGCCCATGTCCTCCTCGTCAGGCGTTTATCTGGGCCGGTATGTTCGATTTTTTTTAGACCGCACTCAAACTGGGCCTCCCTCCATGGCCTATTTTCCTTCTTCAAATCCTGGCCTTGTGCGTGAATGAAAAGCAAAAGGCCCAAATGGCTGAATGGCTTCCTCCTAGGTGCGCTTTTGCTCTGCATCAAGAAAAGAAACTTCTGAATATCATCATCACTCCAAAAAAAAAAAAAAACTTCGCTATGCATAGTCCGCTGTCCGCAATCACTCTGCCAAAAGGAGAACCTCCACTCCACAGAAAAAATCTGTCAAGAAAAAAGAAAGAAAGAAAGATTAGAACAAGAACATGTGTCTCCGTGACATCATCGTAGGTAGGAGGCACGCTCACCTCTGAAAGCAAGTTTTCACAGACGACAGCTCGTTGCAGTAGATGTTCGTGCTGTTGTACAGGTCTAAAAAAGCCTCCTTTTCTTTGCCTTTTTCTGGAAATGCTATTAATTTGCTGCGAGATCTTCACGAGAGGAGGATTACTCTGCTTTACACCTAGATTAAGAGCGACAAAAGCTTCTCCGAGGTGCCTGTTGTTGCGTTGGGAAAAAAAGTACTTTATCCAGTTGAACAACTAAACAAGCTTCAGTTTTTCCTTTTCCACTTCCGAGTTCGTTTTTGTTTCAGGTGTTCTTTTACCAACTAAAAAGCCAGTAAAGTCAGAAAATAATAAGAAGACAGATAGTAGTAGAAGATAACTGATGCTTTATTTAACAAAAAAATGTCTTGAGAAAGCAGAAGGCCCGAGGAGAAGGAGATGAAAATGAAGAATTAAAAAGAGGAGAAAAAGGGCTCTTTTTGTTTGGTTTTATTCTGACTCCTGTTTCTCTCAGAGCTTATTTATTTGTACATACAATTGTACTAGTACTCCCATAGTAGCATAGCAGCTGTCATTTTGCTTCCAAAAACAGTTTGCATAAATAATGTTCTGTCGCCCAAAAGACACAGCCACAGCCCACAGGACAGGAGGTACCGTGTACTATGATTAAGAAAGAAGATACCGGAGCTAGGTACAGTCTGTACGTATTCCAGTCTCGTAGCCACAGTTCAGCCGGCCAACACCCTGGCGCCTCGCCAAACCACGCTGGAAAGTTTTTGAATGGGATAGGCTCATAGGCAAGACGCAAAGGCCCCGCGCCGCCTCGCCACGCACATGTCACCATTAACTAACCGTTGCGACGAGACGAGCCGATAAGGCAGACACGCCTGCCGAGTGCCGACTTTCCTTCCGGTGGTCCACGTCTCAGCGAGGGGGCCTGCGGAGGAGACGGGTGCATTTAGTACCGTACCGCCGCGGCGTCACGCAACGCAGCGAATATTCGAAACCCACCCCGGGGGCCGAGAGCTAGCGTAGCCCCCACAACCCACGACGCTGGACGCACCGCCGCCGCGTTGGGGGTCTGCTGGCGGGCCTCTGACGGTTCTGCCCCTGGGCGCCGCCAAGGGAGACGGAGCGCGGGAGCGGGCCTGCGGGGGAAGCGCGCGCTCGGCGTGGGGGCCCCGCGATCGTGGAAACCGTACGTCGCATTGTCACTGCGCGGCTATGCTTGCGGCATCCGGCGGAACAAAGCTTGACCTGTGTCTGGCTATAGAAAACAACGCAGCTGCCAGAAGAGGCGTCTTCCGGTTCCTTTTTTATTGGTCATGTTGCTTGTCCTCGCTAACAAGAGCCGTCTCACGGCCATATGGCCCATATTCATAATATTCTGATGATATCCGGCCAGCATGCTAAGGTGCCGTGCTGGCCAATAAGGTTTCCGCGTAGGATGGAATAATGAGGTCTCCACACCCTGGCACAAGTCATGCAAAGCATGACGTGTCGTCGTGCCACGGCAGACTCGCTTGATTACGGAGCCTCTGGATTTGTCTGCATCTTTTTCCAATCATGAAACTAAGTACGTTATCTGGATTTTTTTAATTTGGGGGGCAGTTGGGGTTTGGATTGGCACAACCGCGGAGGACCAGAGGTCACTTTCATCAGCAGCCAAACCGTTGGTTTTATGAGCGAGGAAAGATTCAAGTCCATGTCACGTTGTCATCCGAGATGAATTGTATTTGTGGTGTGTGATGAATGATGGATGAATGGAAATGATTGAGCATGACTGTATAGGTCGTAAAAAGTGGTAAATAATAAGGTCACACCCGCTAGGACTATTACCAGTGTTATTGTTTAAAAGAATATCCAAGATTGCAATCCCTACAAACATGCATTACATCGTATTATATAGTTTGGTACAAACATGCTTCCAAAATATCTATTATGGGATGTGAAATTGTTTCAAAAATATTCATTTGGTACAAAAACAGCTTCAACGAGCTTGTAAAGATGTCGAAGAAGCTGTGCTAGACAGGGCCTAAAAATAGCTGCTTCTCCATTCTGTAGGCCATGCGTGAGATTCTATGAGAGCACATTTAAGGAATTCTATATATATAACTGTTTTGCTAGTCGATTTACCAAGAGAGTTATAGCTCTACTAATAGAATTGCTCTTAGAGCTAAAACAAAAAAAAACTACTACTTTATTAGTAAAGTGGAGTTGTGCCAAACAATGGCCTTAATTGTTTTTTCTATGGTCGTCTTCAAACTCCTTGTCCATCTCTCTGCACAGGGATTGATCAAGTTCTCAAAAGTTATGACCAAGTATCGTTTGAATCTTGCAAAATTTTCCTTGCCTAAAGTAAAAGTCAAACTACTCAAATTGCAGCATTTTACATAAAATTCGAGTCGCTTATTTTTTATGCTATGGTACAGAGTTCTATTTTGTTGACACTGTTGAGTATGGAGAACAATATACTTCCTCAGGGAAGAATACAACTATGGGTTATGTGACAATAAAAATAGTTCATGTTTAACCAAGTTTTTAGTGAAATAGTATTTATATTTATGGCTCTAAAAACAATTTATTATGAAAATATATTTCATAATTAATGTAATGATATTTATTTGATATCATAAATTTTGATATTTTTTTTATCAATAATTAGTAAAAGTTAAAATTATAAAACATGACACTGTGTCAGGCTCTATGAACAGTTATACTCCCTCCATTCCAAATTGTAAGACGTTTGACTTTTTTGGTCCCAAGTTTGACCACTCGTCTTATTTTAAAAAATTTGTGCAAATATAGTCAAATTTAAGTCATTCTTGAAGAATTTTTATTAATAAACCAAACCACGACAAAAAAAGTGATATTTTACACAAATTTTTGAATAAGACGAGTGATCAAACTTGGTGTCAAAAAAGTCAAACGTCTTACAATTTGGAATTGATTGAGTATTTTTTTATCAGGTACAATTTAAACTTATACAACCACACGCTCCGTACTCACACCCAACGCAAGTAGAGCTAAAAACGTGACATTTTTTAGATGGAGGGAGTACCGAACTGGGCTTTCTAAACTTCATTCACATCTCATCCAGTGTCAGGCTGATAGGTAGTTGCATCCACTCACATCGATGTCCTCGTTAATCCTCGAATAATACTCGGCTCCTTTCGCTTAAAAAAAAATCAAAATACTATTGCAACTGATTGTGAGAAAAAATACTATACCGGCTAAAAAAGCCTAGCTGAAAAAGACAGCATTCAAATGATCACGTCATCGAAAACGCAAAGACTGAGGGGCTATCGTGGTCATTTGCCGCACCGCACGCTCCCTCGAGCACCGCTTTTTGCCCAGCGGCCGCAAATTTACATGTTTACCCCTCAGCGAAGCACACACCTCTTCTCTCCCCTGCTTCCGCCCCCTTTCCCAAATCTGGCCGCACGATGCACCAGCCACCAATCGGACACCCCCAAAACTCGAAGCCCAACCCGAGCGCCAGGTCCCGTACATCCCGCGCGCTCGCCCCCCCCTCGCCTTTGCGCCGCGTCCGGCCGCCGGTAGCGGGCCGGGCACCTACCGGTGAGGGCTCTCCCCACAGATCCGTTCGGTTTTCCATTAGCTTGGTTCTTGGGTTCTTGGGGTTCTTGGGATTACGAGGGTTTCTGTCCTGGGGGTTCAAAAATTCCGACTTGGAAGTCCTCGGTGGGATCACTTCCTGGTTCTTGGTAATGCCATGGTTTCTTGTTGCTTTGGGTGTGGTTTTGTTGGATTTTCTTGATAATTAGGGTTTCCTTTCGTGGGTTTCTTGGTAACTAGGGTTTTGGTGGACGCAGCTCTGTTTTGGTAACCCGCGTGTTCTCTTGGCTTCTGGAGTTGTAGGGAGGGAGAGGCGCTTTGGTTCCTGGATGATCTGCGAAGGAATTGGGAGCAGGAAGGCGTGATGTTTACTCCGCAGGGCAAAGGATGGACCGGCTGGTCGACGCCGACTGCGGCCAACCAGCGGAGCGGTGGTGGCGCTCCTGCTGCGTCGGCGCCGCTTGGAAAGGGGGAAGGAAGGGTCGCCGAGCTCGAGCAGGAGGTTTTGCTCAATCATTACCTTTTTCTCCAGTCATTCATCTTCTGTCTGAATCTGATTTAGTGCTAAATTTCTCTGCTCCTTTTTGTTACCGATTACTGATTGTTTTGCAACTGGGACTCTCAAGTAGGTCTGCTATTTTATCTCCTGTTTCTATATCATGTAGTCAATCTGTAAAAAAGATGAAAAAACAATTTAATTTGTAGACATCCAACTTTCACTGCTGAGCGAGGTGCTTTTTTAAAGTTGAGTTTGGTGCTTACATTAAATTATTGCAGCATTGCCTAGACTGGTAACCTCTTAAGAAATAAGCCATATTTTAAATGGCCCATTGAAGGCATAATTGTGAAATAAAGCATCACTCCTGGGCTCTGATGGTATTTTGATATCCCTAAAATCTTTTTGCCATGTTGGTATTCAATAATTTGAAATTTTATACCTCTGTTGTAGAAATTTTATACCTTTGTGCCCAATTTATATATTCAATGATTAGATTCTCTGTTGTATAAAGTGAACTGTAGCAAATTATACTATTTCAATGAAGGCATGCCAACACCTATTCAAGTGTCTCATTACTTCTCATTTGGTACAATTTTGATTTTGCATCCAATTTCTTGTTTTTCTTGTGAAAGGTTATTTGCTATCAGGGCACTTTAGAGCTTCAGTTTTTCTGGCTTCCGTTCATTATCGTAATAGTTATTTAATTGTGTATTCATCTGCATATCTGCAGTTGCATGAATATCAGTACAATATGGGGCTTCTTTTGATTGAAAAGAAAGAATGGGCAGCAAAATTTGAAGAAATCAGTCAAGTGCTGACGCAGAAAGAGGAGATATTGAAGAGAGAACAAGCCACACATCTTAATGCTATATCAGAATACGAAAGGCGGGAGGAGAACATGCGGAAAGCACTGGGTGTTGAGAAGCAATGTGTGGCTGATGTGAGTTGGTTTATCTCACAGATCTTTTTTCTTGTTCTTACAGCTCCATGATCATTAATCTGATTTGAAGAGAAGCCTTTAGTGAAAAAGCGCGAAGTATATCTATAACCTTCTGTGACAATTGAAAGGTTTTTGGAACGGCCAATTCTGGTCATGTTCCATGACATGATAATTGTAAAGGTGACCTTTAATAGCCACAATGATAAGAAATTGTTAGGCAACAATTTACCCATATTGTAGTTTTTTAAAAAAATATATATATTAAACATAATTCTGTCCCTGGTACAACATTATGCTTAATTATTTATATGCTCCATGGTTGTATTGCTGTAAATGGATGTATAGCGCTTGCCTTTCCACTCTAGCTGTTATATTCCTTTCGTAAACATAAACTTTTGATGATATCCTAAATATTTCCTTGTAGCTTTCTGCTTTCCTTATTGATTGTTTTGTTGAATGCTGCAGCTTGAAAAGGCCTTGCGTGATATACGAGCAGAGATAGCTGAGGTTAAATTTACATCTGAGAAAAAGATAACAGATGCTCAGTCTCTTGAGGCTAGTTTGGAGGAGAAATCCTTGGGGGTCGAGGGAAAACTTCATGCTGCAGATGCCAAACTTGCAGAGGCAAACCGCAAGAAGTCTCAAGCTGATCGGGATTTAGAAGAGGCTGAAGCTCGTCAACGTAGGTTGGAGAAGGAGAAGTTATATTTTGAGACAGAGTACGCCAGTTTTGCTATGTCCTGCAAATCTATGCTCTGTTGTGCTTAGCATGTGGTTAACTTGTTATGTTTGTTTAATCGTTCTAATACGTTTAGGCGGAAGGCCCGAGAAAAGCAACTCAAGGAGCAGGAGGAATCACTGCAGGAGTGGGAGAAAAAGCTTAAGGAAAGTCAGAATAGACTTAATGACTTGCAGAGATCTATAAATGAGCGAGAGGAGAGAGCAAATAAGAATGACCAACTTTTCAAGATAAAACAGGACGAACTGGAGGAGGCAAGAAAAACAGTGGAGGCCGCTAAAGTTACTCTGAAAGTCAAAGAGAATGATATTAACAAAAGACTAAATGAATTGCATTCACAGGAAAAGGTAATTAATTGATTAGCATCTTATTTTCTCCGTTTTTCTGATTTTCGTGTGTTGATTTTTAACAGTTCAAGACATTTGGTTTGCTCAATTCTGATTTGTTTTGCAGGATGCTGACTCAAAGCGCAGTGCCTTGGAAGAGCGGGAAAAAAAGTTGGTTGAGAGAGAGTCAAAGGTCACTACTAGGGAAAAGGTAAGTGCAACAGACTGTCTTCCTCATTTTGCTACTTCCAGTTAATACCCTTGATGAAACAGTCCACTGCTCTTGGTCTGGTTTGCTCATTGTACCTTATGAATTTATGATTTCCTGTATATGGTGTAATCACTTGTAGGCACCTTGTAGTTTATGATTCTTGAATTGCCTAATGTTTTGTTTTGCCAACCAGTGAAGTTAAACTCAACTGGGTTGCCTTTGTTCTTAAGTTCGCCTTAGCGCTTGCCACTGTACTTCTCAAATAGTTTTCACTATATGCTGTTTCTTTTCTTATCGCATGCAGTGTCTTCTATGAATCAATCTGCACCAATCATCAGAATGTTTTGGGTGGACTACTATTTCTTTACCTTTTCTTCCCCTTCAGTGGACTGATCTAGCTCTCTCCCTTGTGTTCCAGGAGGGGCTCCAGAAGCTTCTTGAGGATCATCAGGCGGAACTTGAATCCAGAAGACGGGATTTCGAATTAGAACTAGAGAGGGAAAGGAAATCATTTGATCAAAAGATGACACAGAATGAAGCGGATTTATTGAAAAGGGAGAAAGATGTTAAATCTTTGGAGGCTAAACTTTCTAAAAGTGAGCAGGCATTGAATGATAAGAAGAAATCAATGGAAAGTTTGCAGAATGATCTTGATGCCAAATCCAAGGCTCTGAAGAGGTGGGATGAATCATTGAAAAATGATGAGAAAAGATTACCCGAAGAAAAGCAGCAACTGAATCATGAAAGAGAGCAATTGGAGACATACAAATTGGAGCTGGAAAGGATCAAATCAGCATTAGAAACTGAAAAGGAAAGAATATCAGAAGAGAAGAATAATCTGAAACTCACAGAGCAAGAGAGGCAGGAGCATAGCTTGCTGACAGCAAAACTTAAGAAGGAGATTGAGGAATACAGAATGCGAAGCAACTCCCTATCTGAGGAGATGGAGGATTTGAGGAAGCAACGGCAGAAATTTGAAGAAGAGTGGGAACAGCTAGACGAAAAAAGAGCCCTTCTAGTAGAGGAGGACAAAAAGCTGAAAATTGAGAGGATGAATTTAGAACGGTGGCGTGACAATGAAGAAAAAAGGTTAAATGATGTGAAGCTCGAAATGGATGAAAAATACAAGGACCAGCTGGAGAGTCTTGAGCGTAAGGAAAAGGCTTTGACTGATGATATAAAGCACAAGCAAATGGAAAATGATGAGTTTCTGAAGGGAGAATGCGCTGATCTGCAACGTAAATTGCAGCTGAAACAGCATGAATTGGAGATGGAGATGGAGCAAAAACAAGCAAGTAAAGAGAAGGAACTGGAAGAAAAGGAAAATGAGTTAAATAGGAAAATGGATTTTGTGGAAAATAAGCTCCGACATGCTATTGAGTTGAACGAGTCCAAGATTCAGAAGATATTAGTGGAGAAAAGGGAGCTGCAGATGGAAAGATCATTACTGCTAGAGGAAAGAAAGAAACTGGAGACTGACAAGGCAGATATTAGAAGGGATATTGAGAGTCTGCATTCACTGAGCAAGAGTTTGAAGGAACGCCGAGAGAAATATAACAGGGACAGGAAACACCTCATCGATCTATCTGAAAAGTACAAGGCATGCAAGAACTGTGGGATTTCTATTTTTGAGGTATCAGATTCTCTTCTTCTTAAAGACAGTGCTGAAATTGAACATCCCAGTTTGGTTGTTGAGGGAGATGATCGTGCCTTGACCACTGATACATCAGGTCTAGATACAGGAACCCTTGTTAATTCAGGTGGTCCTTTTTCTTTGTTACGGAAGTGCTCAACGCTTTTCAAGTTCTCCCCTAGAAAAAAAGGTGAGCAGTCATCAGAGCAACCAGCAGAAAAGAATATACCTTTTGGCGCAAGACTTGAGGAAGCAACACAGAGCGATGGAGATTATGAGCCAACTCCTATCTATGAGATAGCCCATGATTCTTTTGATGCAGAGGATGAGCTCCCTTCTGATGGTGGAACCAGGGAGAACGAAGAGTCTGAAAGGCATGACATAGCTGATGATGCTCAGATGGAGTCTTCTGTTGGTGTAGCAGATAACAGTATAGATATTCTTGGCACTCAGTCCTTTGATGGAACTAACGACATGGCAGTTGAAGCAACTATTGCCTCTGTTGATCAAAATGGCAAGGATTCTGCAGCACCTGCTGAAGCAGGTGTACAGCCTGAAACATCAAAGCAAGGTCGGCGCCAACAAAACCGGAGAGGCAGAGGGAAAGGTGGTGTGAAAAGGACACGGTCCGTTCGTGCTGTAGTTGAAGATGCTAAAACGATACTTGGTGAGACGTTTGAGGAGAAGAATGATGGTCAGGGAGATAAAGTCATGATGGGTGCTACACGAAAGCGGAGGTTTGCTGGAGCTACAATAAGTGAACAAGATGAAGAAGGCAGCGAAGCACATTCGGAAAGTGTTTCACTTGGAGGGCAGCGTCGCAAGAGGCGGCAAACTGCTGGGGCAGTGACAGAGGCCCCAGGAGAAAGACGTTACAATCTGAGACACAGTAGAGTGTAAGTATCGTTATTGGTCCCTAATTCATCATATCTACTTGGTGCTTTGGTTTTTGTTTCCTGATTGTGTATCAAACTAATACTTTTGCGTTGCATTGTTCCAAAGTGCAAATGCTACCGCCGCAACAGCCCAAACTGACAAAAAGAAATCTGCGAAGGCAGGAAATAAACATACAGTAGAAGTTACTGCTGATGACACAGAAGGAACCTCAAAGGTTGACGAGGAACCTGCCCCTGAGAGCAAGAAGGCCTCTGAATCTACAGACTATGGCGCATCCCAGTTGCACGAGTTTTCCCAGGTAATACCCTTTGCTGCTGTGCTCTGTACTGCCCACATGTACTGCCAATGCTGTAGCTACACATGCCTTCAGGCAATCTTTGAATTGCTTTTCAGTATTTGGATATATTGGTCATTTTGGGCCATGTGCTGTGCTTCTATGGGTATAGGCGTATAGCACATATGGGGACCAGAGCCCAAATCTAACTGTAACCTTATCTTTTTGTTTTAGGCTGAAGTTGGTGATGCCCATGCCCCTGTAGAGGGTGCTGGTGAGGAAGATGGTGATATTGTGGATGGCCAAGGTGCACTGCCTGATGTGCCGATGACACGATCTGGAAGTGAACTTGGAGCAGAACAGGAAGACGAGGACGATGATGATTCAGAGAGGCGAAACCAATCAATCAGCAAGAAACTATGGTCATTCTTCACTACATGACGGCTGAAGATGCCGCTGAATAGGTTGTTTCTAGCTTTTGTGCTTTTGATTCATGATACCCCATTCTTGGAACTGGAGGGCGTGTGCTTTTGGTGATTATGTACTAGATTTCCCACTTAATTGTGCTTTTCTCCCGTGTAATTGAAATATACTTGTAGTACATAGCTTGATGGCATTCACAGAAGTAGCTGATGAGATGTACAATGGTGATGATGATATGCCCTGTAACACCAGTAGCTTGGTTTGTAATTGTTGTTCCTTTTGCCCCGGTTCGGGTTAGTTACTTCGTTGACCTTACCAGTGTAGTGAATTTTGTCGTCCGGGGAAATATTTTAGTGCTCTGATGATGGTCTAAATGTTTGTTCGCTTATTGAAACTATACAGTAAATTAGAATGCCACAAGAGTTTCTGCTAGTTCGCAGACTTCAACTACATTGGAGGGTAGTGTGGGCGGTACCCTGGAACTCCTTCCATTCCTGTTTGGCTCTGAATGAATCTTGGCCAAAAAATACTGTTATGACTGAATTGCTGTGAGAGAAAAATACTGTTTCGGTTGAAAAAACAAGCTGAACAAGCCGACTTTAAGGTAAGCCGAACGGGGTAAGTTTTTTATAGAGAATATATTATAGAGAATATATAGTACCGTACTTTTATATCTAGTTAAACTTATGAAGGCCCCGTTCGGCTTGCTGAAACTTGTCTGAGACTGGCTGAAAAACACTAGCTGAATTGTTATGAGAGAAAAATACTGTTTCGGTTAAAAAAAGAAGTCGAACAAGTCGGTTTTAAGGTAAGCCGAACGGGGCCTAAAATTGCTTGACTCCTTTAAAAAAGAAGAATTGCATTCTTTTTCCTGGATGAAAGTAGTAAGGAGAACTGTAGCGTGATGTACAGATAGAACTTGAAAGTCTTTGGTATCCGAGACTTGGGACTTGGGAATTGGGTCCTGCGTGTGACCCTGGAGCTGGTTTGAGATCGGACCTTCCCCTGGTAGAGTGGTAGAACGTCGACGATCGAGAGTTCTTTCTGGGGCCTTTCAGGCTTTACACGGACACGGCTAAGGAATACCCATGCAGGCCATGCTGATCTGTTTTCCTTCGTCTGTAAGGCATGGGCCGCCTGAGGCTATACCATCTTCAATCCTAAATAATGACCTTGATATTCGATATATTTCATTTCAATTCATTTATGTGGCTTGAGATCACATGCGGAATAAGCAGTATCTGAATGTCCGATCCAAAATATAAGAACAAATAACATTCTTCATTATGCTGCATAAGTTAATGCTATTATTCTTCGGCGAATACCACCGTATTAGTACACAATCGCCCTGTTGACTTGAACTTATTCAGAACTACTTTTCATTTATGGAACAGTGTTTTTCTCTCACAACATTTCAGTATAAATATTAATATAAGCTAAATTTTAGTATAAGCGAACATGGTTAATCAGCCTGTTCGCTTGCTTGTATACGATCGTGGATTATAAGCTGGAATAATATTTTTCTCTCACACCAAACCAGCCAGTAATAAAATAATCCACGATCGTTTACGACGAAACCAACGGGCTGCTTTCCTTTTAAATTACGCACCGTGTAAAAAATAAAAAATATCCGCATTGGTTTCACGGCCAAAGTGTGCTCGAACACGGGGATAAAATTATCTTCTCATTATTAACACTCATCGAACACATCAAAGGCAACACGCCAACAACACGGTGTTCTCGGACACGCCATATCAGCCCCAAAAATACTATTCCAGGCTTCGCCGCTTCGGCAGTAAGAAGAGTTGGTTGGGATTGAGCAAAAAAAAAAAAAACCGAGATCGCACCTCTCCGCGTGGCGATGCGTGGAGGAGACGTAGCAGCAGCGGAGGCAGGGTCCCCACGCTCGCCGGACCTCTACGACCTCTCCGACGACTCCGACTACGCCGCCGCCGCCGCCGCCGCCGCCGCCGCTTCCGACCACACGGTACTGCCGCCACCCGTGATTAACTCGATGCTACCGCAGTTTATCTAGCTTGCTCCCCTGCGCGATTTAGGTGCGGCGCGAGCAGATTCGTCGATTAGGTCACTGGTTCCCGTTGGGGTGGGGGTGGACTTGGATTGCTTTACTCTTATGTTGGGGTGGGGAGTACTCTTCTTCGATGCTAATCACAGCTGCAGTTGCCCCCCTCTCTGTATGCAATAGGATTGCAGTGGCACTCAGTACAGCTTCTGGAATTCTGTTGGTTTCGTTGGGGATGCTTGTTGTGGCGAGGAGCCTACCTGTGTTCCCTTTAGATTGAACTGATACCTGTTTGGTGTTGGAAGGCGATGCAGACTGATCCGGCGGACAGAGGCTCAGTGGAGACGGCGAGGGTGGACGTGGTATATGAGAAGGAGCGTGTGACCATCCACCCATCGCAGTATGGCTCCAGTCGTATCAGCGGGAAGCTGCGCCTGTTTCTGCAGCAGGGATCATTGTTCCTGGTGAGTCATTCCAGCTCATCTCCCTGAGCCATTAGCGTTCACATACATACGTGGTTGATTTTATATCTCTACATATTCACTGAGACAATCGAACATTTTGCTAAGAACATAATGACAGCACTAGCAAATACTCAAGTGGGGTTCATATTGTAGCAGGCATGTTAGTCGCCATATCCTAATCTCAGGCCTTTTGAGTTTCTTAGGATGGTGAATAGCATTGCTAAATGAACCTCAAGTTGTTTGTCTTTTGTTGTATTTTGGTCATTATTATCTGTGCTAGTAACTAGACACATGCTACTATTTCTATCTCGTGTTTCTCATATGGTTTCAGCTATATATGTGATATTTCACTGGCACAGTTTACATTTTGAGAACCCACAGGGCCTTATTGCTTAATTGCTATATGGATATAGATTTAGCAATGATTCATGCGATTCCCTTGTTGCTCCCTTTTTATTTTCTTCCTTTGTTGTTGTTTTGATCAATTTTTATGACAGAATTGGGAGCCAAACGAAGGAGCTGACTCTTTGTCAACCAGTTCAGTCGGTGTGGAAATAGAAAAATGTATGCCAGCACAGTTTGTTTGTTTGTTACTATCATTAATCATCTGGCATTTGGCAATAAGGACAAGATGATGCCTTACTCTCTAAACTTCGTGATCCTCACGAGATAGAAATCTGTACACTATCAAGGCCTTGCCTTTAAGTGATGTACGCTTCATCCGTAGGTACACCCCAACATTTGGATTGGACTACATAATAATTGTTCTCTCATCAGGTGAGATGTGCTAGTCGTTTGTTCTTCATATCATTAGTTTGAAACCCCACCTGATTAAATTGCTACTGCCAATTGATTCTGCTCTACCCTGTCGACACATAATAGCATTTCTGCTGCTTGTGTCTAGATAAAAAATCATTTTATGCACATGCTGACAGAAAATTAGAGAAAGGGATCATGTTCATTTATTTTTACCTACTAACTTTTGCAGGCCTGGCTTTTCCTCCATTCTATTTCTACAACGGTGGAATTAAATGAATTGTTCGCATAGCGCTGAAGCAGCACGTCTTCATTATCAGGTTTTCTTTTTCTGTTTTAATGGTTCTAAATACATAATAATAGTGGTCCATTGTTTCATTTATATTGCCCATAAACTATCATTTTGATTTCTCCATATGGAAAAATAATGTTACTTCCACTAAAGTGGCTGAGTGTTCTTTGTATGCATGAATCATCCATATAATAAGGCAGATAAATTATACCACGTGAATCTACAGTTCTACACTGAAGGAGATAACTACAATTGTCGAATTAGCAACCTATGTATAGAGTTTGTTTAATTATGAGTTTCTAGCATCAACTCATTCAATTGAAAGGTAATTAAGTTTGAAACATTGGAACTTTTCAACTATAGTGACCAAAATCCTGATTGCAGACCTAATTTACTTATGCATTCCCCCCTGAATGTATGATTCAAATGTTTTCTCTTCTATTTCAAGGTCGGATGACGATCCTAATGTTTTTCTCGTCAACGACTTTCAAGATCCCCTTCAGGTGTGTTATCGTATTCTAGTTCTTTCTAGCCAAATTAACCACTCTCAAGTCTCAACTCATCATTGAACTTAATTCTTATCAACTGGAAGAGTTTGTAAGTACTAAGTATACCTGCCAAATTGTTGTACAGTGGGAAATCTTTTCTTGGTTAAGTTTGAACTTCAATGTGAAGTAACTTAGTCTGTTCTCTGAAAAGTTCTCTTTCCTGACGCAAATGTTTCCCAGTTTGAAGACTGATTCACCTTACTTGGTCACATTGCAGAAAAGCTTGTCGTCCTTGGAGCTTCCAGGAGTAGCCTCTGTAGCAAATGCCATGTCAAGACAAAATTCGCTCAGTTTTACTGGGTCAAATGATGAGTCCAGACATGGGGCAACTTCTAGCATGTCTCAGTATAGCTCAAAGCAAAAGCACAAATCAAATGACCCAGGTCGTGATCTTTCAATTCAAGTCTTGGAGAAATTCTCATTGGTTACTAAATTTGCACGAGATACTACATCAAGCCTCTTTCGAGACAATAGTGGTGCTCATGCTTATGGACGGCAACAACATGAATACATTTTGGACAATAAAGCAGCTGATAAACATAAAAATCAGTATATAACTCCAGAAAAGGCTTCTACACCCTCGGCAACAATCGAGGTAATGCATCTTGCGTTTTATGTGGTATAGTATCATTAAATTATGACTGGAAGGCATTATTTACTGCATACTAAATCAGTACCAAATCTTCAAATCTGTTGTGCATTTGTGTATTTGATCCACAATTTGGCACAATCACATTGCCAGTCAGGATCAACGGACCATCTGATATTTCTAGTTCAAAACCACCATGGGTTGATCTGGAAACTAAACCTCTGATCACCCAAGTCATCTCTAGGCTTGTAACATCAGTAAATTAGATAATTTACCTGAGGTATATTGGCTAACTGGGGATAGTTGTCACCTAGCCAGGTTAAACCTTCTGCATATTAATGCTACTGTGGAAAACTGGAAATATTTCCAGGGGTCAAGTTTTTAACATCTATAAATTATTTATAGTGGAAAACTGGAAATATTTCCACGGGTCAAGTTTTTAACATCTATAAATTATTTATAGAACATTTGCTCACAGTTTAGTTGCAAACTATGAGTTCACAAAAACTTTTAAATGAAAACCATTACTTACTTGGTTTTGTCTTCTGACCTTTGATGCCGCTGAAAGCTTTAACTGATTAGCCTTTCATGATTGCAAAATGCATATTCATCAATGTGTAACATCAGCTTATCCACTCTTTTGGCAGTCAGATCCATTACCTCTGGTATGGGGAAAACAAAGAGATCACCCGTTAAGTGTCGAAGAGGTAATAACTCCTTGATTTCTGATATCTTCGCGTTCTTCATTTCAACATATTTATATTTCTTTATTTAAATATGTTTCTTTAAATTGAATTCATTCATGACATTAGAAGTCCATGCTGTAGTAATTCAAAATTTTCATTTTTAATACATTTTTTAATGGGAATTACAAAAATATACCCTGTTTCAATGAAGTTACAGAAATAACATGATGTCGCCCCTGGGAAAACAAGTTTCACTAAAATCACCTAGTGGGAAAACAAAAACATGATTTTATAAAAAAAATAGTCGTTTTCTGGGAGAACGAGTTTAGAAATTGGCTGTCCAATAAATGTTTTTTGAAAATCGTCTGTCCATGAAATGAATTCCAGGAAACGCTGGCCAAATTTGAAAAAAAATCTTCATTGCCAGGGTAGCCACTGCCCTGCCTCCCCTGGCACCAGTCCTTTTTGTCAGTCTGACGGGCACACCGCCGTGCCATCTTCAACACCTGCCCTCAACGCCAACCGCCCCCACCAACCCCCTGCCTCCTCAGGTGCCAGACCTTTCCAGCAGCCCGTTGGCAGTGCTGCACTGCGCCGGCTACGATGCAGGATGCACGGCCACCCTTCACCAGCACCCGCCCCCATCAGCACCCACACAGCGATCGTGCCGCTCTCCAGCAGCCGCAGCTTACTATGCCGCCGCCTGGCCGAGGTCCAACGTGGAGAGGAAAGTGACGCGCCCAAGGTGTGGTCCTGCACGACCCTTATCCGTTAGAATTCGGCCTCCGACCAAACGATTTCTTTAAATCGTACTCCAGCACTATGAAATTCCAAAGTCGTTCCCTGGTAAAACAAGTTCTGTGAACATGTCGGTTTTCTGTTGTATACCTAGATCTTGTTTTATGTTAGTGCGATCACTATCTAATTTCGTTCAACGGTTGAACGAGATTTCAGTTTCGCTTTACCAACGGCCAACGTCATATTATTTTTGTAATTCCGTGTATCCATGGTATATTTTCTGAATTTCCATAAAAAATGTATTAAGAAATAAAAAATCCATAGTTATTCTGTGATCATAGCAATATGAATTATTAGTTTACTTCTAGATCCATAACCGAGTCCATGTGATGCATAAGTTGTGAGTTGTGATTGTACATTGAGATGAGTCCAAGATGAGGTTTCTGGTATATGTTTTAGCATAAAGTACAATTATCATTAGGACAACTAAGTTTCAGGCAAACTTGATAAGCATGTCCCCAGGTTCACCTCTGGCTCAGACTCTAGGGGTATACAATTTTATTTTTAACTTATGGCTTGCATTCCAAGTAAACCTTTAGGACAGTGATATTCTAACGGAACTGTTGCTCAGTAATTTTCAAAACATGCTTTTACTGGCAGAAGACCTAAATTCTTGGATTAAGTTGATATGAATAACACTTTTTTTTTTTGAAGATATAGATAGGTAAGTACATGGACCTAAAGCTTGTCTGTAATATTCAGCCCGTATGACTTGTCCCGGTTTAAACTTTTTTAAACCATCTAGCAATATCTTTTTTGTCAGTATCAGTTTTCCTGTTTGAAATCTTCTGATGTTTGCCTGAAAAATCTTTGGACAGTGGGCAGCTTTCTTAGATCCTGAAGGTAGAGTCATGGATTCAAAGGCACTGAGGAAAAAGGTTTTCTATGGGGGAGTTGATCATGCTTTGAGAAAAGAGGTCTATACTTAACACTTGATCTGACAGTTCGTAACTAGCGAGACCTGTTTTTCTATAAATATATTCTGATATTGGACATATAGGTCTGGAAATTCTTGTTGGGGTATCATGAATATGATTCAACATATGCTGAGAGGGAATACCTTGCTGCCATGAAACAAGCAGAATATGAAGCCGTAAAATCTCAGTGGAAGGTTAGTGGTTCACAAGTGACCCATGCTGGTATTACATGTTCCCTTCCACAGTATGTTGGCATTACATTATTTAGTATTTGCCACATGGTTTGGTGTTAACTCTGGACGTATTTTAAGAATCTGAAACTTTCGGGAGCCTAGGCATCAGTTCCCTCCTTGTGTGGGTCCTTCGATCATCAAGTAGGGGTTTCTGGATATATCATGTCTATGGAGTAGAGCTTGAGTTTTCAGAATGAAATGCTGTCGTTTTTGGGCAACTGATAGGGATCTGTTCGATGCATTTATTTTAGCTCCTCTATGTTGGAACAATGCTTTCACATTTTGGGACATACTTTACACTTCATTTACTCAAGTATATGCATGATTTTCCTTGATACCATTCTGCAGAGTATCTCAGCCACCCAAGCTAAAAGATTCACCAAGTTTAGGGAAAGAAAAGGCCTAATTGACAAAGATGTGGTATAAATAATTTCTCTTTTCTATTTGCCATTCTGCACTACACTGTTGTAGCTTAACTGATGCTTTGATATTTTCTCTATCAAGGTGAGAACAGATAGTTCCATTCCCTATTACGAAGGAGATGACAATCAGAATGTTGTAGTTCTACGTGATATTCTGTTAACATATTCCTTCTACAATTTCGATCTTGGTTATTGCCAAGTAAGTTTTTTGTCTTGCACAACATCCATGTAAAATGATTTAAGCTTCCTGTCATTTCTGTGGGAACACAAAATACACTGTGTCTGTTGGCTTCTACTCCCTCAATTCTCTTTTACAAGGTGCAGTTTGACATGACACAGTCTCCCAAATTACACTTTGACCATTTATATATTTTATATTATATTGTTTATACTTATAAACTTATGATAATCGGATAGTGCATTTGGTTACAAATCTAACTGTATCAAGTTTGTATTATAATGATAATTAAAAAATGTTAGCTAAATTATTGGTCATTAAAGTTTGAATCTTGGTATGCGTGTGCACCTTATAAAAGAGAATGGAGGGAGTACTAGTTTTGCTAAGTCACATCTTAGGGCTGATGCTTGAATAGATTATTAATGCTTCTTTTTTTTTCTCAAACATGCAGTAGAGCTGTGTATCATTATATTTAGAAGAAGGGGTGGGGGGAGGGGGAGAGCCCTTGCGACACACTCATACCATGCAATAGATGCTTAATTCTCACGCTCTTTTTAGACAATGACTTCATACATATGCACACAATATTTAAAAGCCTTCAGATTTGTTCATTGTTTAGGTACTTCCGCTTTTAGATATACCACTGCTGCTGCTAATTTGTTTACTGTCAGGCGTGCTAACAAGAAGGAATTTTCCAGGGCATTTACCTTATTTCTGTTATACTGAGTTACTGACTTCTTCAATAGCTTTGTCGATAAATTTTTGTTTGTTCTTTTATACGAACCCAGTAAATGTTGATGTAATTTTCTCATAATTTACATGATATACAGAGCTTATCGTTTGTGGTTCAAATGCTCAACTTGAAATTGGGAGTCCATGTTATTTTTGGGCTGTTGTCTTCCTGTTACTATACTACAATGTTGGTGTATTCCAGGGAATGAGTGACTTTCTGGCTCCCATACTTTATGTCATGGAGGATGAGTCCGAATCATTTTGGTGCTTTGCTTCCCTGATGGAACGTCTAGGCGCCAATTTTAATCGTGACCAGAATGGCATGCATGCTCAACTACTTGCATTATCCAAGGTATATAACGTATTCATCTGCCAAGTGCTGAGTGAGCAGCTAGTAAGCAGCAACATGTTGCTCCTTTTCCATTCTCTGATGTTGCGTGACAGATTCAAAAGTTTCTCACATCCTGTATTAGGGAGACGTGCAGAACGTGGGGGGTTGAGGGTGTGTGACTCAATGGATGCCAAACTGCACATTTGAGATTGGGCACGCCGAGGATGGCAGCGCCCAATCTCAAGGCCTGGAGGAAGATGAGGATCTCTCCTGATAATTATTGCTTGCCTTTGATTGATACATCTCATGTCCTTGTATAGAGAGCCTTACTTGATGCCTAAGCAAGCTGGCTTATCTTATCTCTGATCCGGCCTCTCAGACCGCCGATCTGACCCATAGACTCACCCCCCCTTCCCTCCCTCCCTTTTTTTTTTTTGAGCAGCTCGTCCTCGAGTTTGCAGCATAACCGTGGCTTGACGACTCGTCTCAACTTGTCACAAACCTATCGCCTGAAGACAAGCCTTTTACATCTCCGCTTAGTGTCTTATTCGCTACTAAAAAAATAAAATGAGGAACTATCTTTATTTGTTGTGCCATCTGGCCTTCCTGACTGTCAGGTGGCTGGGACTAGCACATCCAGTCCAAGATTTGTAGTTGTGGCTTGTGGGCCAACGTGGCATGATGGTCCCCCTGGATCCTATGGAAGCAAACCAACCATGATATCACGGTCATTGCCCTTCAGTAGTAGTACCGCACAGGAGATCACATGTTCCTCAACGCACATAGTGCAGATGGACTCCGAGCTGGGGATGTACTCCCCGCCTTCATGCAGATCCAAGTGATGAGATTGTAGCTGTCCTATCCGCTGAACTTGACCATGTATGCACAAATCTATTAGTGGGGACAACTCGCATGCAGCAACCACCCCTCCTCAGGGAGAACACGAGCTTGTAGATTCCATTGTACAAACGCTTGTTTCCATGGCCATAGCGGAAGCATCGGGGACAACGATGCAGACAAACAAGTTCATGGAAACACCATGTAAGCTATGAACCAGCAGCTGCTGTAGCGCGGTGCTTGATCAGCCACAGAGTCTCGCATGATGCGCTGCCTGCGCCTGGCGCTTCACCATGAATCCACGTGCAGCCTGTAGGAGGGGTGGTTAATCTTATCTCCTTATATAGAGAGGCTTACTTGACGCCTAAGCAAGGTGGCTAATCTTATCTCTAATCCTAACCCTAATGAGCCTCTCGTAATGCTGATCTAAGCCCATAAGGCCTAGCTGACTGCCTGTGAGGCATTATCATCTCAATAGAATTTTGCTTAGCTAACTTACGAGTGCAAACGTGCTAGTTCTTGGATTATGTCTATACTGTTCTTATGTCATTATGTGCATCCATCTGTTCCTTCTCCGGAATTGATCCTTCATATCATGGAAATATCATTGTACAGCTTGTTACAAAATTTATTTTAAAATGCCAAGTTATTAAGATCTGGAACCTTTCGCATGCTCTTGCGTTCGAAATTTCAATGGTTTATTGGTTTGACACTTCAGTATTTATCATACCATTGTTACTTTGATTAACGCCTATCAGCTTAGTGGGCTATTTTTTTTTTTTGTGCCTCAGCTTGTGGAGCTTCTTGATCCTCAATTGCATAACTATTTTAGGCAGAATGACTGCTTGAACTACTTCTTCTGTTTCCGCTGGGTTCTTATACAGTTCAAAAGGTAATATTTTCTTCTCTTTTTAAGTTACAAGTGTTTTGCATATGCATGTGACATATCACTTTGTATTCCCCTTGAACCATAGCTTCCTTGAAATGTGTCCTGTTTCTGTCACTGTGCTGTGTATGGGTGGGGCAGGGATTCGGGGGTTTTCTTGATTTGCGTGAGAAGATCTTCTTAACAAAATGCCCAGGGCCTGTTGGTAGAATCCCTAGTCCTACGGGAGAGGGATCGGAGGTTGTAGGTGTGGGTTATCGCGGGGCGAGGCTGGAGGGCGCGAGGAAGACGGCGCGGCGGCGCCGTGACTGCTGCTCGCGCGGCTAGGGCTTGGTGCTCGGTGGAAACTCCCGACTCCCAGAAGGAAGCCGAGAAACAAATATGTTTCTGCTTGATTCATCTGAATAATGTTTACAAGTATTTATACCTCTCTCAACTAAAATAGGAAATATTCTAAGAAATATTCTAATAATATGGCAATCAAGATGAATATGGGCTTTTAGGCTCCTAGCCACTAGCGGGCTTGCGGCGTGAATAGCCCACGCCGGTCATAACATCTCTCCCCGCCTGCTGAAACAGCTCGTCCTCGAGCTGGAAGTCTGGGTAGGAGACACGAAGATCGTCCAGCAGCTCCCACGTCGCCTCCTCTTCGGGAAGTCCTTGCCACTGCACCAGCACCCGCCAGACGCCACGGCGCAGCTGGGCACGCAGGGCCTTGGCCGGTGCCGGAGTGCGCCGACCGTCCAGCACAGGGGGCAGCCGCCCAGGCACCACGGGCAAGTCCCCGCGGTCGCGGTGTCGCTTCAGAAGGCTGACATGAAACACGTCGTGGAGACGAGAGCCCTCCGGTAGCTCCAACCGATAAGCCACCTTGCCAATACGCTCGAGGACACGGAAAGGACCAGCATAGCGCGGCCCCAACTTGCCCTTGGCCTGTGGTGCCAGCGACTGGGTGGCGCGGTGAAGGAGGCGGAGCCACACCCAGTCACCAACCTGCAGCTCCAGATCGCGATGGTCGGCGTCGTAGTACTTCCTGGCAAGCTCCTGCGCCTGAAGAAGTCGTTGGCGCACCTCAGCCAGGACCTTGTCCCGTGAGCTCAAGAGGCCGTCAACAGCCTCCGTCCGAAAACGTCTCTGCGGGCGTGTAGGGCAGCAACGGCAGAGGCGGGCGGCCATAGACCACCTCGAACGGAGTGGCGCGCAGGCGGTGTGTGAAGCGGTATTATAGCAATACTCCGCCCACGCCAACCAATCCACCCAAGCTCGCGGCCGATCACCGTGACACAATCAAGATACATAGCAATCACCTTGTAGACCACCTCCGACCGCCATCCGTCTGGGGTGGAACGCCATCTCTCATACGAGCTTGACACCGCCATCGTGAAGAGATCCCGCCACACATGGCGGTGAAGACGGGTCCCGATGGCGACGATGGACGGCGGGAACCCGTCTGCGGCGAACAATCCGTCGAAAAAGCGCGCGGCGACCGACGTGGCCGCGTGTAAAGGGTGGCCGAAGCGCGATGAAATGCGCGTGCCGGAGAAGCGGTCCACCATCGCTGTCGAATGACCGACTTGCCGCGACCTTGGCAGCCCCTCAATGAAGTCCATCGAGATGTCGGCCCGGACTTGGGTCGGCACCTCGAGAGGTCTGCAGACAGCCCAGCGCGCGCGTCGTCTCCGTCTTGTTACGCTGGCAGGTCATGCAAGCACGCACCCAATCCTGCACCAGCATCCGGTCCCGCGGAATGTAGAAGTCGGCACGGAGTCGATGGAGCGTCTTTTGGACGCCCTCATGGCCAGCCGAGTGCGCCAAGAGGAGCACTTGGTGGCGCAGGTCCCCATGGTCCAGCACGAAGACACGGGAGCCATGGAGCAGGAGCCCGTCGACGAGGCGCCACGGTGCCTCGAGCTCGCCCGGTCAGATCTTGAAACCGCCATTCTTGGCCGTCGAAGCGTGGCCTCTGCGCACTTTGATGTCGCCGAGAGCGCAAAGGAAGGCCCGATAGAGTCGTAGGTGCGCGCCGCACCCTCCTGGTCGGCCGGCGCCCCAGCCTCAGCATCTCGGCGTGACAGTGCGTCCGCCACAGTATTGAGGCGGCACGGGCGGTACTCCACAAAGAAATCGAAGCCAAAAAGTTTGCTGATCCACTGGTGCTGCGAAACGGTGGACAAGCGCTGGTCAAGCAAAAATTTGAGGCTATAGTGGTCGGTACGAACCAGGAAGTGGCGTCCCCACAAGTAAGGCCGCCAGTGATGTACGGCCTAGACCAGGCCGATCAACTCTCGCTCGTACGCCGCCAATTTTAAGTGACGGGCAGCAAATGGCCGGTTGAAGTAGGCGAGGGGTCCGCCATCCTGGTGAAGGACGGCACCAAACCCCGCACCCGACGCGTCGCAGTCAACCACAAAGGGCGCGGCGAAGTCCGGCATCTGAAGAACAGGACCTGTGGTCAAGGCACGTTTGAGTGCCTCGAATGCTGCCGATGCATCGTCGTCCCACACAAACGCGTCTCGTCGCAAGAGACGCGTGAGCGGAGCGGCGATGACGCCAAAGTCCCGGATGAACTTCCGGTAGTAGCCGGCGAGGCCAGAAGCCCGCGCAGCCGTGGGCAGAGGTCGGAGATGGCCCGCGTGGCCTCGGCGGCGATCTTGTCGGCGTCCATGGCAACACCGCCCGCAGAGATCACGTGGCCCAGGTAGGCCACCGAGGACGCCCCAAAGGAGCACTTGGAGCGTTTCAGGTGGAGGTGATGCGCCCGCAGCGCGTTGAGGACGATGTTGACATGCTGCAAGTGCTCGGCCCACGACGAACTATAGATTAATATATCATCAAAAATACGAGGACAAACCGCCGCAGGTAGGGCCGGAGGACGTCGTTCATCAGGGCTTGGAAGGTTGCCGGGGCGTTGGAGAGCCCAAACGGCATGACCGGGGAACTTCGAAGTGGCCGTGGTGAGTCGCGGAAGGCCGTCTTGGCGATGTCGTCGGGGTGCATACGCGCACTGTGGTACCGAACGAAGGTCGAGCTTAGTGAATAAACGGGCCCCATGAAGCTCATCCAAGAGCTCGTCGACCACAGGAATCGGAAATTTATCTTTGGAGGTCTTGGCGTTGAGGGCGCGGTAGTCGATCCAGAAGCACCACGAGTTGTCCGCCTTCCGGACCAAAAGGACCGGCGCGGAGAACGGAGAGGTGCTGGGTCGGATGATACCCTGGGCGACATGGCGGCACACTGGTGCTCGAGCTCGTCCTTCAGCAGCGCTGCGGGTAGCGGTAGAAGCGCGCACCGCAACCGCGCGGTTCCGGCGATGAGGTGGATCACGGTGGTCGTATGGTCGCGCGGAGGAGCCCCGTGGGCTCGGCGAAGATGTCGTCGTCGTCGGCGGGAGGAGGTGGTCCAACAGCGCGGCGTACATGCGGTCGGCCGAGGCCGCGCCAACGCCGCTGCTATTTGCGTGGAGTGCCGTGGTCGGACACGCCCCGCCACGTGACGCCAGCGCGCCGTTCGCCGTAACGACAGCGGTGTGGGCCTCGCGATCCCATAGCATGGGCCCCGCCGTCCGGAGGAAGTCAAAGCCGATGATGAAGTCGAAGGCGCCCAAGTTGAGGCCGACGCATGTGATGGCGAAGTCCTCGTCCCTGATGCGGATAGGCACGTTGCGTGCGATCCCCTCGCACGCCAGGCGATCACCGTTGGCGACGGTGACACGTAGATGCTCGCCACCGCGAGAGAGACCGGGCGGCGCTGCACGCTCCCTTGGATGAAGTTGTGCGTCGAGCCGGTGTCGAGGAGGGCGAGAAAACGCTCGCCCTTGACGGTGACGGGCAGCAGCATGGCATTCGGCGGCTGGATACCTGCAACAGCGTGGAGTGAAACCACAAGCGAGTTCGCTGTGGCGTCCTGGTCGGCCAGCTCCTCCGGGTGGACGGCTGTGGGCCCGTCCTCAGCGGCTGCATCCTCCGACTCGTCGTCGATGTAGTCGGTAGTCTCGAGGTAGAAGAGCCGCTTGCACACATGGCCGCGCACATACGGCTCGTCACAATTGAAGCAAAGGCCTTGGCGGCGCCGTTCAACTTGTTCGGCTGGTGTGAGGCGACGGAAGGTCCGCGGCTGGCCGGGAGCGGCTGTGGCAGCCGGCTGGACCGGGGCAGAGGCAGCCGGTGTCGCCGCCATGGTCCGTGGGCCACGGCCACCCCGCTGCTGCAGCTGCTGTAGGGCAGGGAGGAAAGCCGCCGTGCGACGCTCGTAGGCCCGCGCGTAATACATTGCCGTCTGTAGGTCAGGCGGATGGTGCATCTCCACATCGCACTTGATATGCTCGGGGAGACCGCCCACATACAGTTGGGCCTTCTGGCGGGCGTTGAGTTCCCGTTCATGGCAGAGGACGGCGTTGTAGCGGTCCGAGTAATCCTAGACCGTGGAGGTGAAAGGCAGCCGGGCAAGCTCCGCCAAGCGCGTGCCCAGCGTTGGAGGCCCGAAGCGGAGTTGGCACAGCTCGCGGAACCGCTCCCACGCTGGCATGCCCTCATCCTGTTCGAGCGCATAGTACCAAGTCTGGGCAACGCCACGGAGGTGGTAGGACGCCAGCCATGTGCGATCCGAGGCGAGGGTGCGCTGGCCGCGGAAGAATTGCACGCATTGGTTGAGCCAATTGAGCGGATCCACGCCGCCATCGTAGGATGCGAACTCCAGTTTGTAGAACTTCGGTGGAGCGTGGGCGCCGCCGTGCGTGCCGCCGGGCGCGCCGTCGTCGGGGTGGCTGCCGCCCCCAGCCGCAGAAGGGGCAGGAGCGCCGCCGTAGAACAGTGTCCCATCGGTGCCGCTGTAGAAGGTCCCGGAGATTGGAGCCGAGGGCACGAGGGAGGTGGACATTGCCGATGGCGTGGGCGAGGTGGCCGTCGTGTAGACCGGCCCCGGTGTCGTTCCCATCAGCGCCCATGTCGGGATGGGAGACGGAGAAGTCGGCCACCGTAGCATGTGCAGGGGCACCCCCGTCCCGCTATGGAGCACGCCGGAGGGGTAGCTTATCGGCGGCGACGTCGTTGGTGCGGGAGGTGGATGCGGCGGTTGGGACGTAGGAGGTGGAGGCGGCGGAAGGAGGCTCGCCAGGGACTGCTGCATGGCGGCCATGTTGCGGCTGAGCACGTCCATGTTGCGGCCGATCTGGTCGACCACACCGGCCAAGGACGCCAGGGTGAGCGTGGTGCCGGAGGACTCCGAGATCTCGGAGGACGCGGCAGAAAGCGGCACGGTGGACACCGGCGGCGAAGACCCGCCGGAGGTCTGCGGAGGCGTGGGCATCGTACCAAGGTTCGCTGATACCAAGCTGGTAGAATCCCTAGTCCTACGGGAGAGGAATCGGAGGCTGTAGGTGTGGGTTATCGCGGGGCGAGGCTGGAGGGCGCGAGGAAGACGGCGCGGCGGCGCCGTGACTGCTGCTCACGCGGCTAGGGCTTGGTGCTCGGTGGAAACTCCCGACTCCCAGAAGGAAGCCAAGAAACAAATATGTTTCTGCTTGATTCATCTGAATAATGTTTACAAGTATTTATACCTCTCTCAACTAAAATAGGAAATATTCTAATAAATATTCTAATAATATGGCAATCAAGATGAATATGGGCTTTTAGGCTCCTAGCCACTAGCGGGCTTGCGGCGTGAATAGCCCACGCCGGTCATAACACCTGTCTTACCCCCCTCCCCTCCAAGGTCATCTTTTTTTCTGTCACTGTAGTACCTACCCTCAGACTATTTTCCCTTTTTATTTTATCAATTTTCTACAACCAAATTCACGGACCAGTAGTGCCCCAGACTAATTTTCCTACGCTTTTTTTACTGGAGAGCTGCATGTCTGTGAGAATAAGTAAAAAAAGTATCAGCCACTTAAAGGAACCAAATGCAGTTTATTTCAAAGACCAAAATCTACTCTGCTCAAACTTGTCAGACTTCCTAGCCCTTTTGCTATGCCTGTAATGCACAGCTGTGCTTCATCGGCAATCTCTCTAATCACTGTTTGCTATAGGGGAGGAACCATTTGCCTGGCCATGGATCATCAATCATGATGTTAGTAAATTTGTATTACCTACTTCATTCGTGGAAAAAAAAACACCTAGGTTTTGCCGGTGCATAACTGAAATTAGGTGAGTTCAGACTTGATCTAACCACATGGCAGGTCTTTTCTTTTTTCTTTTTTTTGGGGGTGGGGGTGGAGTGGTTGGGAGGGCTTATTTTAACTAAGCAACAGATCTATTTTATCTAGCCACGAGCAGTTGACCAATTATGTAAATTGAAGAAAATGTGTCTTACCAGTCAGGCATCAGGTCTCATTTTTTTTACTCTAAGATGGATCAATTTCTTATGGATCGCAGGGAGTTCAGTTTCGACCAGATCATGCTTTTGTGGGAAGTTCTGTGGACCCATTATTTGTCAGAACATTTCCACTTGTACTTGTGCGTAGCAATCTTGAAAAATTATCGTCAGCGGATAATTGGGGAGCAGATGGATTTTGATACCCTCCTTAAGTTCATCAATGAGCTCAGTGGTCAGATCAATCTTGACCGGGCTATCCAGGACGCGGAGGCATTATGTACTATTGCAGGAGAAAACGGGGCTTCCTGCATTCCACCTGGAACCCCACCTTCAATGCCCATTGAGAACGATGGTGGCCTGTATGTGCAAGAAGACGAGGTCTTGTGAGATATCAGCAGCGACCCTAGAAAATAATTTGCACAGAAGCATCACAAGTTTTTATCCTGTAGTGCTTTCGTCGATGTCATAAATGTGATCTGTTGTAAGGTTATACCAAAATGTGAAGAATCATGAAAAGTTGTTTGTGTATATACTCCTCCGGGCCTGTTTGGCACAGTTCACACCAGCTCTATGAGCCGTTTTATTTACCAAATACTCGTTTCCAAAACAGATTTACCCATGAAGTTATTTTTCTCCCTCTATCACAAAGAAATGAGTTAGCATGAAGCTGAAAAAAAATAGCTTATCTCAGCTCTCTCTCTTATTTCTCTCTTCCATCTATGTATGAAGCTGTTGGTGAAGTTGTTTTGCCAAACATTTTTTTCTAAAATAGCTCAGTTTCACCTAGAAAGGTGCTCATGAAACTGTTTTCTAAAAAAAAACAGTTTTACTGGTGAAGTTGAGCTGTGCCAAATAGACTCTTAATAGATATGGATTCTATATGGAACCCCAGGTTCCTTTGCTAACATCTGTTCTGCCACCCAACACTTGTTTGGCCAGTTCCTTTGTTACAACTTAATTGCTAAAGGGTGTTCATTCTAATACACCCTCCGTCCACAAAATAATATAATTATGGAATCCATATCGGTCAAATTAGCTCAATTTGATTAGATTTATAGTAAATAGTATTGACATTTATGTCTCTAAATAATTTTAAAAAAAATATATTCTATAATTAATGTAACGTTACTTATTTTGTATAAAATGTTAGTATCTTTTTATATAAATTTAGTTAAAATTTAAATTGTTTGAGTCTTCGAAAAACGAGAATTGTATTTTTTTTAGATGGAGGGAGTACTTTGTTACTTGTACTTCAGGCTCTTCTAAATAAAGTTAAGATGGTATTATAGTTTGTATTTATCACTATATCTCCTCTGAAACCCTGCAAGTAATGAGACCTGGGTATAAGTTTATTTCTTCATTTTGTTCTGATGCCTTGTTCAGTCTTCGTGATGAGAACGGTTAAACTGGAACTGGTTTGTGCGGAAAGCCTGCTAGTTTTGTTTGTGACGTGAGCTTGGATGCTTCGTTGCACCAGCGTCTCGGCAAAATAATTTGCAGCCTGTTCGCTTGCTCGTAAACGATCGTAAATTTCCAGCCGGGAACAGTGTTTTTCTCTCACACCAAACCAGCTAGCAATAAATAATCCACGATACGATACGGCCTCCCGAACAGGCTGTTGGTCCCGAAATGCGGCTTGAAAAACAGATTTGCAATGATGATGCGCGTACCTTTTGGGAAACAAAACAATTTTGCGTGCTCGTTTGCTCGTTGTCATAAGGGTTTCAAGAGCTTATGATTAAACTTCTTTTGAGTACCTTGAAGACCAGAGCGTCTGGATTATATTTTTTAAAGCAAAATGTACAAGCGGTCATTAAACTTGTATGACGGTATCATTTACGTCTCTAACTCTAGAATTTTGATACTTGGGTCCCTAAACATGTACGATGGTGTCACTTTGATTCCCAACTCTTGAATTTAAATATTTGGGTCCCCAAACTTATACGGCGGTATCATTTGGGTCCTTAAACTTGCACCTTAACACACAAATGGCACTGATGCTGCATGCTAATTGTGTATTGACGTTGAAACCTCTAGTTTGGTTTTGGTGAATTGATAAAACCCTAAGTGCTAACATGTTGCTCTAAGTGATCATGAGATATGGTAGCACATTCCAAGTGGTGGAGCAAATTATGAAGATCATGATGATGGCGATGGCCATGGTGATGATAAGTGTTCGGGCTTGAAAAAGAAGAAAGAGAAAAACAAAAAGTTTAAGGCAAAGGTGATATCCATAGGAGTTCTTTGTTTTGGTGATCAAGACACATAGTGGGTGTGATCACATTTAGAATAGATAGCCGTACTATTAAGAGGGGTGAAACTCGTATCGAAATACGGTTATCAAAGTGTCACTAGATGTTCTAACTCATTGCATATGCATTTAGATTCGAGTGAGTGCTAATACCCTTGAAAATGTTTGTAAAAATATGCTAACACACGTGTACAAGGTGATACAGTTGGTGGTTAGCACATTTGAGTAAGGGTGACGAAGTTTGTGACTTGGAGGAGTTGCCTCGAGCTGACCGGACGTTGCCTAGGCAGTGACCCGACTCAGGCAGGCGCGTCCGGTCAGTGGCGCGCAGTGTGGCGTTTCCTCGATCCTTCGACCAGACGCTGAAAGGAGAAGTTGACCGGTGAGTCCGGTCGTGGTGACGTACGCTGACGCAAGCTCGTAGGCGAGGAAGGAAGGATCGGACGTTGGCCTGCGTCCGGTCAAGGTTGAGCGGACGCGTCCGATCGCAGAAATTCCTCTCTACATGGTTTCTGAAAACGATCGGACGCGTGGTGGCTCAGTGTCAGATCTTGTGAGCGGTGCGTCAGGTCGCAGTGCTGAGCGCGCGGGCGTGGGCGCGGGCGGACGCGGCGTCGGGTGCGTCCGGTCGTCACTAACACACGAGCATGAGCGCATTTGACCGTTGAAATCGCGCGGACGACGTTGAACGCGGGGGACACGTGGACGACATCCAGCAAGGGCGTCCGGTCACTATGATCTGCACGTCCGGTCGCCCCGTGAAAGTTGGCAGTAGGGAGCCAACAGCTCTATTTCATGGGGCTCCTATTTAAGCCCCGTGGTTGGCTCTAGTTCACTCTCTTGGCCATTTTTATTGACATAGCAACCTAATGAGCTAAGCCAAAGCCGTTCCACTCATCTCCATCGTTGATTCATCATCTTTGTAATATTGGAAGTGAATCCAAGTGCATTGCTTGAGTGTTTACATCTAGAGTCACTTGGTGATTGTGTTTCGTTGTGGGATTCGCTTGTTTCTCTTGGTGGTTGCCACCACCTAGACGGCTTGATGCGGCGAGAATCGTCAAAAGGAGGGTGGTGCTTTGTCTCCGGCTCCGATCATGGTGATTATGAGGGGTTCTTGACCTTTCCCTAACGGAGAGCCAACAGGTACTCTACTGGATTGCTCGTGGCTTGTGGATCCTCATCTTGTGTTGGTTGTGCGGCACCCGATTGTGGGTTAGGCGTGTGATGTCTATTGACGCTTGAACCTCCAAGTGAGTGAATCGCCATAACGGGGACTAGCTTGCCGGCAAGTAAGTGAAACTCGGTGAAAAATCATTATGTCATCTTGTCTCCAAGGATTTTATTGGTGTTCATTGTAATTGATTGATCATCTCTTGCCATGGCAGGATAACTCACTACCTCTCTTGTGCATTTACTTTCTTAGTGTAGCTAAGCTCTTTAGTGTAATTAGTTTTGACAGCTAGCTTGTGTCTTGTCTAGTGGTTAGTGAGGCTCTTTAGTTAGTCTTTGAGAGCTCACTAACTTAGTGGTAGTGACTTAGCCTCTTGTGTGTTATAGAGATCATAGATAACTAGAATTGTGGATAGAAGGCTTGTATTTTTTAGTAGACTAGCGCAACACTCGCTTTGCTTTATAATTGACTAACCACTTGGCTTAAGTGTTGTTGTAGAAATTTTTTATAGATTATTCACCCCCCTCTAACCATTAGGATCTTTTAGACATGCAAGTCCGAGATCTAGATGACATTGTGATACAAATTTGGAGACTCAAATATCAAACTTCGTCAGGACTTAAATTTAAAAATTTGAGAGTTAAGGATGGAGATGACATTGATGTACAAGTTTAGGGCCCCTAGAGTATTTTACTCATTTTTAGACGAGTGACATTGTGACAGGATGTTGAAGGTGCACTAAGGCCCTGTTTGTTTTCCTAGTCCAGGGACTAGAAACTAAAACAAGAACTAAATTGTAGTCCCTTACCCTGTTTGGTTCAAGTGATTAAAGGGACTAAAGACCATTAAAGACACATGAACAAAGACTAAGTTACCCCTAATTAATGCTCTTCTCCCGCACTATGTCTGCTCCCGCGCTACCCTGCTCGTGCGCACCCCTCAATGCTGTGATGGCCGCGCTGGCCGGCTTCAAAATTCGCCAAAATTCATATATTCAAAAAAGTGTTCATGCTGTTCAAAAATCTTCATTATTACAAATCATCAAAGCTACGACCTACTAAGCAAACCAACGGCTATCCCGAAACCGATTCATATTTTGATCTTCTTTCCCTTGACGTGTACTAGCTCCATTTTCTTGATGAGACGAGGTTTCTTCCAGTTGAACGTAGTTTTCATCTTCATCACATCTACCAAAGTCCTTATCCGCTAAATCATCTTCTCCTTCGTTGTCGTCGTCGCCGTCCACATCCTTTACATCGACGATGTTGTTGGCGGTAGATGTGGATCCACGGTAGACCGGCATCCTCACCCTTCCCCCGCAGCCACCACTGCCGACTTCGCCAAGTGGAAGACCTTGGGGAATGGATCCTGCTGGCCATCCACCGAAGCCCGCTCCAGTAAACAGAGCTTGGAGACGGCTTCCTCCTGGGCGCGCAGCCTGGCTACTTCCATAGCCAGATTTGCTACGAGCTCCGCTCGAGCGTGGAGGCTGGAACTGGCCATGACTCGATCTGCCGCCAGGGCCAAGTAGAGGAAGCCCTTGGCCGCCACGAACTCCTTCCGAGTGTAGTTGCTCCTGGTTGGGGAAGACGTCGAGGTGGGTGAAGGCGTAGGCCTGGGAGTTCAGATCCAGGCATGCGTGACCAGGAGCAAAGAGGCTGGGGGAGGCATAGGGAGAAGATGGTGCTTGGGAATAGAGGTCGAACTCGTCGGCGTTGGGGAGCTCAGGGTAGGATCCGGGGTGGGGGGGCGTAGGAAGAAGACGAGGGCTGGGAGAAGAAATCTCGGTAGTTGTTCCCGTGGTCGTCCATGGCGGGTGCGTCATGGGGAGGAGGGGGAGTAGCGGCGCCGGCATGGGGACGAGCGGAGGCGGTGTAGGCGTGCGGGCGAGAGTGGCGGCGGTAGGGAGGAGGGGGCGAGTGCAAGGGCACTGAGGGTTATTCGGGATGGGTGGGAGGAAAT